AGAGAAAAATCTTGAGGATGAGACATAAAGACTCACATAAATTGTGAACACAACAACAACAGCCATTATGGATATCCCCCAGTGGTCAGAAAAATCATCTATTAGTTTTCTGGCAACAAAGACACAGAAAACTACGACAGGAGAAACAATAAGAAAAATTGTCAGTGCCAGTGATCTCACATCTAGTCCAAATATGAACCTTCCCTAAAGAAAAAATTTCTGCAAGAAAATTATCAAAGCAATGAATAAGCACCACAGTCATAAAATGGCTAGATACTGTAACATATTTCAAATAACTATGCAATTTGAGGTTCCTCTTTGAGAATTGCTTCAAAATCATCACTAGCGTCAACAACGCGTGCAATTGGATGCTTCCTGTGATACTCTCGAATCTGTAATGCCACAAAATAACCAATCCGTTACACATACACCAGCAGCAAAATTAAAATAACTACGAGAACCAAACTTCGTATATCCAGCTATTTATTTTCTACCAAAACCGACTAAATCTCTAATTCTCATTCCAATTCCACATACAACTACAACCATGAATTGATTTAAATGCAACAATTTCGATTTCGATGCTTCACCACATCAATCTTCTATAAAACTAATAAAAAAAACTGCAGTACATCTAAAAATTGAAAAATACAAGCTGACCTCCTTGAGTCTATCATAAAAAGCACTGAAAACGTTAATTCCGGTGGCGGTTTGGCCTCCTAGAGCAGCAATCTCATCCTTTCTCGCATTGTTGTTATCTTCATATATCTCAATCTGAACCGTAGAACAGAGTATTAGGCTACGATGTGAATACGAAAAAGATGAAGAAAAACCTAATGAGCAAACGTACAAGCTTTTCAGTGGTGAAGGAAATGGTGTCGATCATGTTCCGCACACGATGACTCTGATACAACCACTCTTTGTTGGTGTTCAGTTCATTCTGGAGCTCCTTCACTATCAGCTGCTCCAACCGTTCCACCTCCTCGTGTGTTGCGCGCATCACTTCCAGCACCGTCGACAACATTCTCTCTCGACAACACCTTTCTCTGCTCGCAAAATTCCCTACTCGTATATTAACCTAATAAGGTTGTCCTTGGTTAAGCTGAGCGCCTGAAGCGCTATGCAGGCCTTTTCAATGGCGAAGGCGCTTCCGGAGTCGAGGACGCGGATGAGGTGGTTGAAGAGGAGGAGGCCTTCCGCGAGGAGAATGGTTTTGAGTGTGGTTGGAGGCTGACGGCGTTGAAAGGGTAGTGTGCCCTATTAGGGTTTCATTTCTACATCGGTCCAAAGAAAAACCGATGTAGAACAACTCCCATATTTTATTTCTACATCGGTCAATCATAAACCCGATGTAAAATTTCTCATATTTACATCGTTTCTCCCCTCAACCGATGTAAATATGTTTGTATTTTCTATTTATTTACAAGTTTGCCACCGTGTTTATAATTTACATCGGTTCTACCAGAACCGATGTAAATATGGCGATGTTAAATAGTATTTTTGTAGTAGTGTCTATTGCCTACTTTTGAGTCAGTATACTAGTGGTTTAGTGCTATTATGCACAACTACACATTTTTTTTTAATTAATTTACAGGATTAAAAGAAAAATTTAATTTTCATTTATTAATTGAATAAAAATTTATATATCTTTCGTAATTATTACTCTTTCAATATTTTTAATATAATTATTATAAAAATTTAAAAAAAATGCATTATATATGTATGTACAAACTTCTCTCTTTATTATCCAAATAATTTTATTTTTGATGCTAAAAAATATTATTTTAATAAAAAAAACTATAATATTAATTAATTGAGTTTACAACATTATAAAAGTAACGGTATACATTTTTATAATATTTTTTAAAATTCATACTATTTTGTAAAGAATGTATTAACTTAAAAAAATAGTTACATGTAATATTTAGATATTGTTTTTAAACTTTTTTATTTAATAATTAATAAGATCAGTAAATTGATTAAAAATTAATAAGATTTGATTGATTTTCAAAAAATATGAATGAAAAATCTATCATGTGGACTTTTATCAATATTATACTTGTTTTACATTTCAAACTATTTTAAATTTAATTCATAATTAATATCAATGATTTGGTAGCTCAATTTAAAAATTTTGATTTAATTTTTTTTTGATGTAGTTCAATTTAGTTTATAGTTAATAATAGTTTAATTTAGTTGATATTATAGTTTAGTTCAAACTCCTAGAACTATAGTGCACTAAACTAGATAATAGTTTAATTTAGTTTAATCAATATTTATTTTAGTTCAATATAGTTTTGTGAACTATTTATTATAGTTTAGTTTAGTTTTCTTTTAGTTTAGTTCAATTTAGCAATTTGAACACCCCTACATATATCCTTCTTTTATGCAATTTTGTGCAGCCTAATATATTCAAAAAATTATTTTTCATCTTTCCCGTTTCGATTTTCTTCATGACATCAAGATTATCATACTTCTAATATTCCCACATAGCGTCTCTAATGTCTTTATGCCAAATGACCTTTACTAGTGAAATCTGTTTGTCTCTCAACTGCTTGATTCTTCTGTCTGCGATCTGTACAAACATTATTTCAAATGTAAGCTTATCCTTTAATTGTATATTAGAGATTATCACATGAGAAGGATCAAAAATATATTTTCTTAATTGAGACATATAAAAGACATTGTGAAGATTAGAAAGAAAAGGTGGTAAAGAAATTTGATAAGCAACGATACCTATTTTTTTGAGGATTTGGTAAGGACCAATAAATCGAGGAGTGAGTTTCTTTGATTTCATTACCCTACCAATTCTAGTTGTTGGTGTAACTTTCAAAAATACGTAGTCACCTTCCTAAAATTCAAGAGGTCATCTTTTCTTATCAACATAAATTTTCTGTCTACTTTGAGTCATTCTTAATTTTTCCTGAATTATTTTGATTTTTTCCGTGGTTTGTTGCACCAATTCAGGACCTAAGATTAAATTTTCTCCAATTTCAAACCAACACAAAAGAGTTATGCACTTTCTTTCATATAGGGCTTCATAGGGTGTCATACCTATGCTAGAATGGAAATTGTTGTTATAAGTGAATTCAATCAAAGGAAAATATTTATCCCAACTACCAGAATCTTCTAACACACAAGCTCTCAATATGTCTTTTAAGGATTGTATGGTCCTTTCTAATTGTCTATCTGTTTGAGAATGATATGCTGAGCTAAGATGGAGCTTAGTTCCCAAAGCTTGATGTAAACTTCCCCAAAATCTAGAAGTAAACCTAGGATCCCTATCAGATATTATACTAGATAGACACCGTGCAACCTTACAATCTCTCTTATGTATAATTCAATCAAATTTTCCAATAAATACCTAATGTTGATGATCAAGAAGTGGGCAGATTTTGTTAGTCTATCCATGATAACCCACATGGAATCAAATTTATGCATTGTTCGTGGTAAACCACTACAAAATCCATTACTATATTGTCCCATTTCCATTCAGGTATATCTAAGGATTGTAGCATTCTTGGTGGCTTTTGGTGTTCTATCTTGGCCTTCTAACAAATCAAACATGTAGCTACATATTGTGCTACTTTTTTTTTTTCATTTTAGGACACTAACATTCTCTTAAGATCCTGATACATTTTTGTTGCACTGGGGTGTATGCTCAACTTGCTTTTATGTGCCTCACCTAAGATTATTTTCTTAATTTCTAAATCATTCGGCACACATACCCTATCATTAAATCTCAAAACTCCCTTTTGATCTATGTTAAACTTTTCACCATCCCTTTGTCCCAACAATATCTTTTTCTTCTAAATGAACTCATCAACTACTTGAGCCTCATAGATTTGTCTATGTAAGTCACTAGTAATCTGAACTGCATGCAATTGTATTATATCCCAGCTTACTATAATTTACAAACTTATATTTCTAAATTTTTCTATCAAGTTCATCTCATGAATAATTGATGAAGAGATATGTAAGGATTTTCTACTCAATGCATCAGTCACAACATTGGCTTTTCCTGGATGATAATGTAATTCAAAATCATAATCTTTCAAAAATTTCATCCACCTTCTTTTTTTCATGTTTAATTCCTTTTGATCAAACAAATATTTTAAACTCTTATGATCGCTAAAAACATCAAACTTACCACCATACACATAATGTCTCCATATCTTGAGTGCAAAAATAATAGCGGCTAGTTCTTGTGCATATAATCTATAAACACTGCAGGAGCATTAACCAAACCAAAAGGCATGACTTGATATTCATAATGATCATACCTTGTTCTAAATTCAATTTTCTATATATGTTATATTTTCACTTTAATGTGATGATATCCTAATCTTAAATCTATCTGAGAGAATACAGTTGCTCCTCTCAATTGATCTATCAAGTCATTTATCCTAGGAAGAGGGTATTTATTCTTTATAGTAAACTTATTTAATTGACGATAGTCAACACAGCCTAAAACCTCCATCTTTCTTTTTAACTAAAGAAATAGGAGCCCCCAGGGTGGTACACTAGGGCGTATGAATTGTTTTTCAAGTAACTCTTCCAATTGTTTCTTTAGATCACTTAATTCAGAAGGTGATATCTGTTAGAAAAGAATGGCACAATCCAAGAGGGGGGGTGAATTGGATTCTATGACCCTTTAAAAATTTCAGAGTATTTTGGATCTTTATTTCACTTAAACTTTTCTAAGACTGAATTTTCAAATGAAGCTTCTTTAAAGACTTGTTATAGAAGAATGAATTCTATATGCTTTCTTGATTACAAAAATAATGAGGTTCAAATGTAATGCTTTAATTCAGTTTAAACCACCAATATTCACACACACATGCTAATCAAGAATCATCTTCTTTAATGTACAATCAAGATATTACTCAAAGTAAAAGATAAAGGTAGAAGAAGATTGCACAAGTCTTTTATCCTGGTTCAGCCACTCCACATGTGACCTACATCCAGTCCTCAATCAGAACCTGATCAAGATTTGTTCCACTATCTTAATGAAGAAGGTTTACAAGCATACCACACATGCATATACTTCAACACTCAAGATAACCACTTTCTTGACCCCAAGAAAGCACCCCTTGTAGAAACCCACTACAAGAATCCTTACCACTTGAGAAACCCTTCTCAAGATTTTACAAGTATTCACAAAGAATTAAGGAACGAATTCACCTGGAATTCAGAAGCAAATCTTAATCTTCCCCTTTCAAGAATGTGATGATGATGATGATCCTTTCTCAAAGTTTTTCACAAACGTTTTTCTTCTTGGATTCACAAAGAAAACTCTCCAAGATGGTCACAAAGACTCCACAAAAACGCTTTTCCAAATTTGATTATCAATTCTAACTCTTGTCTAAAGTTTCAAAAAGTTCAAACTATTTATAAAAGTCTCAGACCCAGATAATCGATTATTTTAAAGAATAATCGATTATTTTGTTCTTCAGGTTTTCTGGAAACCAACCAAGAACAATATAATCGATTATTTTGCTGGATAATCGATTATTCCAGAGAGTTATTTCAGGGATAATCGATTATTTTGCAAATAATCGATTATTGCAGCAAGGCATCCCATTTTTCCTGTTGCATGAATAATCGATTATATTTAATGATAATCGATTATGTTGAGTTAGTTTTCAAAACTTCGTTTTAAGTCTCAAAATGACTTTTTAGTCCCTTTAACTCATCATCATACACTCTCTAATCAGTTTAGATATAGATTTAGCTTATGCACACAGCACACACAACAAATAAACTCATTCAACACAATGTACATACTAATCCTTATTACATAGCTCTTTCTTTGACTTTGTTTTTGTCTTCTAATTTGTTGTTGTTGTTTGTTGTTGTCCTTGACACACATTTTGTGATCATCAAAACTCTCTTAATCTTAAGAGATAATCTTGACCTCATCAAGTTCAGGCTCCCCTAAGCTCAACAATCTCCCCCTTTTTGATGATGACAAACCACCACTCAAAACATGACAAACCAAGCTAGGCTTCAACCATTGTGCTT